TGGAATATCTGAAACAGGGGGAACTGTTGGAAATGAAAATGCTTAATCAGGGGTTTTGACGGATAGAACACACACATCAAGGAGGCAGAAACCAAGAGGGCTGTCCCTAAAGCCCCTTCGCTTGACTCACAAACACGCGGGTCACTTTTCTTCCTCATGCTAGGCTTCAAAACTACGGGGTGGATGCTGGATTCTTTCTGCTGGCCATCTGGCTGCTACATGAATGGAGTCTATGAGGTGGCCAAGGCCACCCTTTTTGCTCCACCCAAGTTGAATTGCTCCTGACTTCTGCCAACATGTGGCAAATTTATGATCGAAGTTTTTTGCAGTTTTTTTAAGTTTCCTGCCTTTTCCAGAATTACACGGCGGCTTTTGCTTGCCTGGTACAGACATTTGTGAAAACAAATGCCATGTCACCATGGGGAAAGCTCAGTGCCTTGCATAGCTGCTCTTCGCCTTCCCCTTGATCCTTTTCTGCCTTAGCGAGGGACTAGTACTGTTCATTTTCCCTGCCAGTTTGTCCCTTCAGGATGACGCTGTACCAATTAGCAAGTAACACAAACGTACCTGACTTCTTGTACTTTCAATCCAGGGTTCCACAGACAAGGTTCACAGCCACAAGGTTCTGGAGTGATACAGCCCCCAAATCATAGAGATCAGACTGAATCATGCTTGTCCCACTATGTGTGGAGCAGGGCAGGAATTTGTAGATTTAAAAGAGGTTCTGTTTGGCGACCCCTCAGACACGGGATTATGTTTCAGCATAACTGACATAGGAAATGCTTTTTGACCTCTTAGCTGGTTTTAAACAGAAAACTATCTGAAACCTGCTTTCGAGAACCCGTTAATGTTTCAAGTTTTCTTGGACAGGTTTCTCTTTAGTCTACAGATCCCCAGGGCCAAAGCAAAACATTCCCCGTGCTTCTCTAAACTTGGTGGTGAAAATGTTGGGTCCAGCTGAATTCACGACTCCGTGTCTCCCTGAAGCAACGCCCCCCCCCCTTGTCTCTGGACTTTCGGCGGCCAGTAAGGACGCTGCCCCGTGCTCACTGTGTACATCAGCTGTGCATGGCCTGCCCATAGCTCGCCGTGTACTGTGCCTGGTCTGCACTGAGAGGCACTGTAAGGCACACGCCCAACTCCAAAGACTTGGTTCCAAGAGAAATAATATAATATTTTACCATTTTATATTGATCAGACACTTAAAACTATTTTGGATAAGCTGGACTAAAGTCCATTACTAAAACCAACTTTACTTACTTGACTCTTTCCTTAAACTGTGACTTGTAGAAAAAGTACTACTGTATAAACAGCCACGTGACATTTGTGGGTTTTTTTTGTTTTGAGATTGAGGGGGTGTTTCTCATTTTTGTAGCCCAGGCTGGCCTCAAATCATTCTTTTGCCTCAGCTTCCCTAGTCTTGGCACCAAGGGCATAGGTCACTATGCTTGGCTTGGCATGCCATGTCTACCAGACAGTCCTGCTTTTCAAATGGTATTCACCCTGAACACACGAAGGAGCAGGCTCTCAGCCCTGTCCCTGGGGCTGTGCCTCACAAAGCTGCTGGAGAATACCAGCCAGTGTGGGGCAGATACACTGCATGACGCCAGGCAAAGCCACTGAGGAAACTGAGGACGCGGGAAGCAAGCCTACCACAAATCCCTACTTGTGACCGGGATGACAGGGTAACTCTGGTGGCTGTGACAGACCTTGCTGATGTTTGCTCCTTGCAGCTACAGCAGGGGTGTTTGCCAGGCTGAAGCATGATGCCATCAGGCTTTTAGTGGAGCAGAGCAGCAGCAATCACAACAGAAACAGCCAAGGGGGGCACAGTGCTTGCCTAGCGTATGTCAGGCCCTGCTTGGCTCGCCAGCCCCGCCAAAACAAAATAGGATATGGAAATAGCCAGGAATCCATCACAAGAGTTAAATGAAGCTCACGAGAATCTAAAGCTGGCTTTTCAACCTGTGGCTGGTGAACCTCTATCTCCAAAAATATCCACTTTCCCGTTTATAACAGCAGCAAAATTACAGTTATGAAGTAACAATGGAAACGATTTTATGGTTGGGGAGTTGCCACAACATGAGGAACTGTGTTAAAGGGTTGCAGCATTAGGAAGGGTGAGAACCACTGAGCTTAAGATGAGAAGGAAAGAAAGAAAAGGAAGAAAGAAAGAAAGAAAGAAAGAAAGAAAGAAAGAAAGAAAGGAAGGAAGGAAGGAAGGAAGGAAGGAAGGAAGGAAAGAAGGAAGGAAAGAAGGAGGAGACAGCTGCCATAGTTACTGTAGGCACAGAAACTCTTGACCACATCAACAGATGGCCTTATTCATCCAGTGGAATTTTCTTTATTGACATGAGGTCTGAATTAATTCAAGAGCCTTTCCCATGTCAACGGAACTACTAAACTCTTTATTCTACCAGCTCGCATGGATCTGCAACACAGGCTTTGAAGGCAAGCAGAGAAGTGGACCACATCCCGGGAGGCCTGCTGCTCTTGGCAGGGCGGGAGAGAAGGAAGGCCCGCTGAGCTGCCGGACTTGCCTCTGCTACCTCTCACGGGAAGGCCAGCCTTCTATCGGTTTACGTGTTTGGTTGTGTGACGTATGTATACGGTCTTATGGGTGATTATATATGTACATTTGGGTTTGTGCCTGTGTGTGTGTGTGTGTGTGTGTGTGTGTGTGTGTGCGCGCGCACATGGGAGCCAGGGGCCACTGTCGGGTGTCTTTCTTGTGGACTCTCCACCTTAGTATTTAGGCCGGGTCTCTCCCTGAACATAGAGCTCACTGATTTTACTAGGATGGCTGACCAGCTAGTCCAGGGATCACCTCATTTCTGCCTGTGGACAGCTTATAGACTCTTGCTTATAGACTTCTGCCTATAGGCTGCTTATAGACTCGTGCCTATAGACTCGTGCCTATAGGCTGCTTATAGGCTTGTGTCTATAGACTTGTGCCTATAGGCTGTCTATAGATTTGTACAACCACACCCAGCTTTTACAGAGCACTGTGGATTGTATTCAGGTCCTAACGCTTGTACAGCGGGTCCTTAGCCAACTGAGCCACCTCCCCAAACCCTTTGCTACTATTTAAGATGAGTTTATTGTTCTGCCCCTAATCCTGTTCTCTTTGGTTATCCTTCGGTGAAAAATGACAGATAGTTAGGAACCAAATTCGAGACTTCTAGAAAGGTCTTCTATGGATTCTAAAAGTCACCCAGGAAAGGCTCCAAACCCAGCATGCTCTGCACGGCTTCGCTTTCCCTCTCTGTCTGTCTCTGTTGTCTTCTGGCTTCCGCTCTAACACAGCTGCAGATGAAGGGTGATGAGCCCAGGGGCAGGGCTCTGATCTATCGTCCTGCCTCAGAAGAAACCGTTGAGAGCTGTGTGTGTTCGTGCCATTATGTCAACGGGCCATAACACATAAACTTTACAAAACTCAAAAGCGTTTTGAGCTATACTGCAGACACCTTATGAGGCTGCTTACTTTTATAGCGTCAGTTTTCAAACCCTGCATACTGAAAACATTATAGTCAGTGCAAGCTTTGCTCGGTTGCAGAAGACATAATTTAGAATCAGGCTTTTCTTCTTTTTAAAGTGTGAATGCAGTCACATAAAAGCCTTTATGTCACCCTGCAGCAACTCGAAGTCAACATGCTGATTTTTTAAATATAATTTACTTCTTAGGAATGTTAGTTAAAAGTTACTTTTTATGCCAGATTTTTTAAAAAAGAATTTTTGCTTGAAGAAGCACATACGTCTAACTTATGTGCCATAAAACATTTATAATGAAAAGATTGGCACATTTAAATGTAAATTGGGTTTAACATCAAAAACGCTAACATCCCTTTTTTTAAAAACCATAGTAAGTTTGAAGGATAAATTAAAATAATCAACTGTAAATTACCAGTTGGCATTTTAAAAGCATTATTCCTAAGATGTTTCATGCCGACATATCTAAACCTGACGAGATGACTAGCTGGAGGTCTCTCAGTCTTGTCTAAAATGTCAGTTTTTGGTTCACATTTTCAGTGTAAATACATCTGTCTGACAAAGGCTCAGAATTAATGTAGCAAACAATAAAATTATGTTATGCAAGGGAACAAGTTATCAGAAGAATAGTTTTATTTTTTTTTCCTGATGTAGGTAAATGTACTCCAAGAGTTTTTTTTTTTTTTTTTTTTGAGGTGCCAGTTCTGTGATCTGAGTCAGGGTCTCACCACTTTGCCCAGGTTGGCCCCCAAATTTTGATCCTCCTGCCTCAGCCTCTCAGGTACTGGGTTTAGACATGTGCTGCAGACCCAGTGTCCTGAGTGCTTTTGTATGGGTCACCATCAAAGCATTGTATGTGGTTTAAACACATAGGTACATCTCAAACCTGTGTGAGAACTGGCCCAGAAAGCACATGTATATAAAATCATGAAATCAGATGCAGATTCAAAACAAAACGATCCGTCTTTGGATCACGCCTTCATTAGGATGCCACAGCCAACGAGCTTTGGAACAGAGTTGTTCCTCTCTTGCTGTTCACAAAGATGTGATAGATGTATCTGTCCTTTGCCATTTATGTGCGAGTTGAACCCTGCCACACGAGTGTTTGTCAGTGCTCGTGGGCTGGGCATTGTTTGGTGTAATTCAAGTTTGGGGATGATCGTTTCACTAAGAACCCATGCAAGTGCAGCCGTGACCTGAGCAACAGAGAGTTTCGTGTACCCAGACATCCCTCAGGGAAAAGCTGGCACATACCCGAGCTTGCTCTCCTCTTTGGAGGCGCGAGCATGTGTGTGTGGCATCACTGGCAGGTCGCTGAGCCCCCAGGATGCTCCTGTCTCTACATCTCAGCCCCGCCCCCTCTCCACCTGGCTTTCACCAGGGCTCCCAGGCTCCCGGGCTCCAGACTCAAGTCTCCAAGCTTGAGCAGCTCACAGCATGCCCCCCTGCAGTAGAACCGGGTCCCTCACACTCTCCCCAGCCCCCATCCGCGCCCTTGCACTCCCTCTCACCTTCACAGCGCCGTTCTCGTGCATCGTGATGCAGTTGTCGGCGTCCTCGGAGAGCTGGTACAGGGCCTGAGCTGTAGCCCGGTGCACGTTGGTGTCTGTTGACTTGAGGTAGCGCACCAGGGGAGCCACGGCCTTGTGCTCACCGAAGGCCACTCGGTTCCTTCCCCACATACAGCAGCGGGAGATGGCTTCGGCCAGGTGCCGCCTTAGCTTGTCGTTATTCTGCGCCAGGGGGAGAAGCGAGGGGGTACTGCCGTGACTCTGTGAGGGCGTTGTGCGTGTGCTTCACACCTGCTGTCCACCGAGATGCCCTCTGCAGCAGCACGCCCAGGCACGCTGGAAGTTCCCCAGAGGAGCTAGAATTTTTGGCTTCTTTCTTTTAAAAAGTGCGTTCATCTCTTTGAGGCAGGGTATCTTGAACCCACTGTGTGGACCAGGCCGCTCTCTGACTCAGAGATGCACACGCCTCTGCCCCTTGAGTGGCGGCAAGGTTAAGGGTCTGGCCTTACTGCTGGCCTTACAGACGTCCAACCCTGGTCGTTTGTGTCAAGAGGCTTGAGTGCGTACTCAGCTCGAGTCTACTGAGAACAAAGCCTTACACACCAGGACCAGCGAGATGACCATTGGTAAACGGGCTTGTCCCTGAGACTGATGACCTGATTTTCATCCTAGACCCTCATGGTGAAAGTTGTCCTACACCCTTCCTGTGCACATTATGGCACTCACATGCGTGCATGCACGTACATACACACACATATAAAATGTTGAAAAAAAAAAAACGTACAAATGATCAAGTTGCTGAGTAGTGAAATATTTCTCGAACTGGATGTTCTTCAAGGGCTTTTTCATTTTATTGGAATGAGTGGACCAACTCCACTCCTTCGACCTATTAACTCCCATGGCAGTTTCTGCATTTGCACGTGTGTGGCACACGCGTGTGTCTGCTATAGGGAGGCGCGCATGTGTGTACGAGCATACAGGTGTACCCGGGGCCCAGAGGTTGATGTTGGGTGCTGCCTTTGGCCACCTTCAATGCTATAGACTGAACCCGGTCTTGCTCATCCAGCTGTTCCTGCGAGCCAGCTAGCCCTGGGGACCCCTCACGGTTCCTTCCCATGATCTGAGATTGCAGATAGACCCCCGCTCCAGCCCTCAATCCTGAGTGGCAGGTGCTTTTATCTGTAGAGGCCCCAAACCCCACCTTAATTTCTGAGGACAGGACAGAGTACCACGCACTGCGACAGCCACTGGGCCGTCTATGGTCCTTGCTGTATTTTCTCTATGCAGACAAGACTTTTTGTTTAGGATTACCTCATATAGTATAGAATAACTCGGTATGACACGGTTTTCCACTGTCCCATTCTCTTGACCCAGAGAATGTGTTGCCCTCTGAGTCTGACAGGTTCTCTTGGAAACGCTGGGTGTCCTGCACCGAATATTATTCTAGTGGTTTGCGTTTCTGTGTTGTCACCCTGCTGCTAAGTGGCAGTCCAAGCTCTGCTCTGACAGGAGCATGATGAGGACATTGTCGCCAGGCCCTGCTCTAGCTGGCACAACTTTAGATAAATCGCATAGTTCTGCCAAAGCCTTCGGACTTGATTCTGTCACAACCCCGGGTCTCTAAGCCAGGAGAGGAGCCGTTCAGCCTCTGATGCTGGAATGAAGTGCTACCTCAAGAATAATGGCAGTGGCAGGGAAGCTGACAGCTAACGCTTACATAACAGCACTTATATTTGCCACAGCTTTGCTTGCCAACAACAAATAATAAAAAACACCCTTTTATTTAACAAAGATCTTGCATACTAATACTCCCCGCGAGAGTGTGTCTCTGCGTCTGTTAGTCTTGAGGAAGCTCAATGAGCTGGAGAAAATCTTATACTTTATAAGCAAGGCTCACTAAACCCAAATTCAGATCTCTTTTCTGCTCTACCGTGCTCTGAGAGTACCCCATAAAAACAAGGGGTTACTTACTGTATTGGCAAGTTTGGACAGCAGAGGGACCACCCCATGGTCTGTGATAACGGCTAAGTTTTCCTGGTCTTTTGCTATGTTGGTGATAGCAGCACAGACACTCGCCAGGACCTCTTTATTGTCTGACTTCAATAAGTTGACGACAAGTTCCAAGCCACCAACGAAGGAGCGAACCATTTCTCCAGCGTCCTAGGGGAGAGAGAAACACCTTCCTTCAGATTAGTTTTCAAAAGGTAGAAAATTAGTAAAAAGGCTCTTAGGTCTATTTTAAGACAAAAAAAATTAGTATTTCTGTATTTTCGAATTCTATGTATACAAGTGTGTGTTTATGTATGTAATAATGAATACGCACACAACAGGTATATACACTTTGGTTTGAATGTTTACCATAGGAGCTACTGAGCAGTTAACAAAATACAGCCTGTTTTTAGCACCTGCAGGCTGCTATCCAAAGTCACTGCAAACACTGAACTAGCCAACAGTGAGTCAGTCCTTGAGGAAACACAGGGTTAGGTCCTCACAGGCCCCTGGGGACAATATTTTTGCCGGTATTTTGATCAACAGATGATGTGGTTATGCTTCTGTTTGAGCGCACCTTATTTCGTATATTAAACAATCACGCTTATTTATTTCTTGGTGTGCGCTTCTGACGGTGCACTGCTAGAGGTCAGAGGACAGCTTGTGGGCGTTGGTTCTCCCCTTCCACCACGTGACTCCAGGGGATCTGACTTAGGAGTCAGACTTAGCAGCCAGCGCCTTTACCAGCCGAATTGCCATTCTGGCCTGTTCATATGTATTTTATAACTCATTAACATCAACATCATAGCCAACAGCACTGTAAGTCATGTACGGAAGCTTGTCTAACACGTATTTCCCCCTCAAAGCACGTCAAATCCTTATTGCGCTTAGGAACCGTAGGTAGTGCTTCAGCACTCTGCCTGGGGACAGCTGAGCAGTGAAATAATGAACACAAAGCACAAAAAGGTGGGAAATGCGTCTTTGTGTGGACTCACAGTGGACCCTGCTTCCAGGATGATCTGAAACAAAAGTGTCGAGTGACCCGTGTGGCCGCCTCAGCCTCAGCCAAGAGCACGCCTCCAAAGAGGACCTGCACCTTTCCACGCGCCTCCGAGAATGACCGTGGAAGGCCCTCGGGTGAGTTGGGGGTTACAAAGAGGCTTCTGTGGAGAACCTGTGAATGAGGCATGTTGGTACATGCACCGTGTGCCATTGCGTTGGCAACAACGAGCACTGAGAAATGACATGGCTCCAGCGGGCACAGTGGTGCAAGCCTGTAACGCCAGCATGGGGCTGAGGCAGGCGGATCATGAGACTGACGAAAGCCTGAACTTCCAGACCCTGCCTTCACAGGGAGGTTGGGGGGGCAATGAGAAATGGGCGTGAAATAGCACACCAAGGAGCAGGCGGGTAGGGCAGAAACACGCTAGAGGGCTGGCTGAAATGCTGGGGTTATTCCAGTTCAGATTTTAAAATGTCTTTAACATTTTAAAAGCTATTTGCAGATGCCGAAAGCTATGGGCTAGAGTATGCTCTGAGTGAAGACAAGATACCACGAGAGCTTTATCGATCATCAACTGATTTTCATATCCCCACACCCTGTAAATTCTTCCATGGTGTACCTGCTGCTGCAGGAGAAAAATCCAAGCTCAAAGCACAGTTACCAAGGCACACTCTGCAGGCCTGACCTTCACCTGCAGCCTCAAGCTGACCACTTCTAATATCTCCGGAAGCCCTGGTCCACTGGCCTCTGCCGGGAACTGGGCTAAGCAGCTCCTGAAATGTGGCACTCGAAGCACAGACCACTGTAGATAGTGAACGGCTTTGTTCACCTTTTACCTAGAACTTGAAACTAACCATGCCAGCGTTTACCAGTTAGCATTTGCTGGGATCATGGGCTTTCCCCCACCACAGGTCTCTAGGGGACACAGAGGTCTTTGTGCTCACAGACATGCACTAGTGAGCCTGGAATGTTACGCTGCCAGGGTTGTCCTTTACGGGAAGGGATAGATAAACTCTTCCTTACCCACATGGCTGGAGCAGACCTGCTTTTGAGCCTGGTGCCCGTTGCACTATCTGGGTGACTGGAGATTTTCCAGCCCCAGATTCTCTTTCAGACCATCATCACATTTTTTTTTCTCTCAGTCAATTTGTAGGACCCATTTTTACAGACTTGACAAAGAGTTTCACTGTAGAAACGGCCCGTCTGTGTTTAGCTTACTTTGCTCCTTGGATTGATTCATGTGTGCTGTGTTGCACACGCGAGATTGAATTAGTCATCACCAGAATGATTTTCACCGAATTGTATTGTGCTTAAATATGCCTAAGCTAAACTGCTCAGGGCCAGACTCCCAAAGTCTGAGCCAATATCGGCTACTAAGTTGCTCTGAGACAGATTGCCTCCACGACTCCCAGGGCTGTCACGCTGTGGAGAAGGTCTCAGAGAACCACCCCTCTCCGACACAAGCCCGTATGCACAGTAAACCAGCATACTCTCCCAGTGGAAGGTAAATCCAGAACAACAAGCCAGATCCGTGCAAGCACAAGGACCAAGGGGGCATCCCCAAGCTCACAGCCCTCTCTCATTGCTATGGGAACACAAAGGATCAATACTGGAGGCCTATTCCTCAATGCCAAATGTGAGCATCATTTCTGGTAGGTGACATGTGCTTCTAACGTGCCCATAAAATTAGTTCGAATTGTTCCATTTTCTACAAGTAAAGATTTTATTATAATACAAAATAAACTATATTTACAACTTTGGTCTACACTGTACTTTATTAAAATTTTGAGCACTCAGGTGCTATCAGACTTGAATATTATATATTTAAAAATTCAATAGTTTCCAAATATATGCAGTACCATCTTGCCCATTGTTGTCTCCTAAAAAACTAGCAAATCTTACTTGTCTTAAAGTGACTCTGTCAAAAAGACAATACGGCGGGCACCTTACAGACCGGGAAAAGATCTTCACCAATCCTACATTCAACAGAGGACTGATATCCAAAATATATAAAGAACTCAAGAAGTTAGGACAGCAACTAAACAAACAACCCAATTAAAAAAATAGTGCACAGAGCTAAACAGAGAAATCTCGACAGACAAATCTTTAGTGGCTGAGAAGCACTTAAAGAAATGTTCAGCATACTTAGTCATCACAGAAATGCAAATCAAAATGACTCTGAGATTCCATCTTACATAAGAGCAGGAGAGTTGAGCCTGCCTCCTGCTGATGGCTGCCTTGGGTGGCTGGCCAGAGCAGTGTTCGCCCTGGCAGTGTGGATAAGGGAAAGCCAGTGGGCTGACTGGCTCAGCTCCCACCCAGGCCCAGGCCTAGGGTTTGAGTTAACCTACCCAACCCGTTTTCTTTACCCATTCATCTGTTGATCGTGACCCTAGACTGTCCTAACTCTGTCATCTGTGAACTGCTGGGTGCACAAAAGGGCCAGTCCTGCTGGTGCACAGCTGCAGGATCTCCATAACACAGGGCAACAACAGGATAACTGGGAGGAGTCCTGGTGAGGAGTCAACATTGATGGTGTCACAGAAGCGAGAGATCTCAAACCAGACCGATAACCCATTGCAAGGAACATTCACTAGTGAAGACGTATATTTTAGGACACACTGTGACACACTACAGCTTCCACGATGAAATGTTTTCTGTGCTTTACTTCATTGTGTGTGTGCATGTTTCTTTAGAAAGGAGAGGTTTCAAGGGCAGAGGGTGGATACAAGGGTGGTACTGGGGTGCATGATGTGAAACTCACAGAGAATCAATAAATCATTCATGTTTTTATGACACTGGGATAGACCTGGATCTTACGCACACTGGATGTGCACATCAGCCCTGAGCTATGCCCCCAGACCATAGTCATCTTATTGAAAGAACTGAATGAAAACCATAAAAGCCACAAAAACAAGAAGAAATAGACTTGCAACATTTCTTATATTCCGTGGTTATAAAAAGTAAAAGTTTTAAAAAGAAAGGAAAGATCTAAAATCAAGAAGGAAAGATTCATTTTGGAAATCAGACTGACACAGAAGGAAAACAAAAAAGAACAAAGACTTTACTTTTTAAACAAATAGAGGATGGACAAAATAATGCAAAAACCGCAGAGGAATGAGCAGAGGAGCAGCATACATGCCAGAGTCCCAAAGAAGAAAAGCAGAGTGCTAGAAAAGGAATTTAAAACATAGATTGAGAGATTTCTCTCCAGAAGTAAGTAAAACCCAAGGGTTTTGAAGTAACATGCTTGGGAAAACTTACCCAACATGAGCTACACACAAAGACATATCTTCACCTAACTATTGGACATTTAAAAAGCCAACCAAACAGGCAGGATCAATGGCTCAGCTGTGAAAGGCTAGGCTCACAACCAAAAATATAAAAAGCCAACCGACCAACCGACCAAACAAACAAACATAGACTAAAAGGCAGAAGGACACTATCCAAATCAACCAAACCAGAAATGAAAATAGAACGAATGACACTGAGGAAATCCAAAGACTCAGTAGGTCCTACTTCAAAAGCCTATATACAACAGAATTTGAAAATATAAATGAAATACACAACTTTCTTGATATATTCCATTTACTAAAGCTGAATCAAGATCAGGTAAAAAAATAAATAGTCCTATATCCCTTAAGGAAATAGAAGCTGTCATCAAAATCTCCCATTCAAAAAAAGCCCAGGGCCAGATTGTTTCAGTGCAAAATTCTACCAGACCTTCAAAGAAGAGCTAACACCAATACTCTTCAAACTATTCCACAAAATAGAAAAAGAAACATTACCAGCCTCATTCTATGAAGCCACAGTCACCTTGATACCTAAACCACACAAAGACCCAACCAAAAAGAAAAAAAAAAAAGAGAACTTCAGACTAATCTCGCTTATGAACATTGATGCAAAAATACTCAATAAGTACTTACAAACCAAATCTAAGAACACATCAAAGATATCATCCACCATGACCACATAGGCTTCATCCCAGGCAAAAAGGGATTGTTCAACAGATGAAAATCCATCAATGTAATCTACCATATAAACAAATTGAAAGGAAAAAAAACACACACACACGATCATATCCTTGGACGCCCAAAAAGTATTTGACAAAATCCAACACACATTCATGTTTAAAGCCCTGGATAGATCAAGGGATACAAAGCACATA